GAGTATATTGGGTAAAGTGATCCAGGGCTCTGATAGGAACAGTAAAATATTGTCTGCGTAAGCAGCAAGCTTATATTCCTTGTTTGCCATGGAAATGCCTTTAATATCGGGATAAGAGTGAAGTTTACGTAACAGAGACTCTAGGGAGATCACAAAAAGGAGCGGGGATAGGGGGCAGCCTTGGTGTGTACCGTTTCCAAGAGGGAATGGTTTAGAAAGATGTCTGTTCATGTGCACCTGGGCAGTTGGGCCCGAGTACAGTGCCATGATAAAATTTATCATAGTGACCCCTAGTCCAATCACCTGTAAGGAGGCTCTTAAATAGTCCCAAGAGACTCTGTCAAAAGCCTTTTCGGCATCTAGAGAGAGGATAAATCCAGGATTACGGGAGTTGTGAAGGCAGTGGAGGAGATTGAGTGCCTTGATGGTGTTGTCACTTGCTTCTCTTCCCGGGATGAAGCCCACTTGGTCTAAATCAATCAAGGAAGGTAGCAGTGGGAGAAGACGGTTTGCTAAAATGTTTGCAAAGATTTTGATGTCAACATTCAATAGAGAGATGGGTCTGTAATTGGTAACCAAAGAGGCATCTTTCCCGTCTTACATACAACACTATGGGAGTCTTTTTTTCTCACCTCTTTATGGGGATCGCTTGAGAGGCTACCCGGTCCAACATCGGTAGGAGGGGGATACCACCACTGTTACTACTCCTAGATTAGGTCTAAAAAGGGATCAAGACCTCTCCGTTGAATGCTGTTTTGATGTGAATTGGTCCCTAGGGGCCACAGCGTGGAGGTGAGCAGGCATGCTAGCCGGTGGTGGATATGTTTGTTAAGGGGATCACCGTACCTGTCACCAACTATTGTTTGAACCAAGTCGTTTGCACAAAGTTGTATTGCTGGACGATACAGAGAGTTTCATTGGACTGTTTTTTGTTTAGTTCACATTTGTATGACACCTTTGTCCGTTTTTTACCTTTATATATATTTTTTTTTTGATAATGTCATTTTTTTTACTTATGCATTTGATACACTCACCTGTTGTTTCTCATATTGTGGATTACGTTCTTTATGTGGTACTATATATTTTGATCACATGTTTGGTGCCACTTTTCATGTTTATGCTTATTTATTATTTGTGTGCTCACTTTGATTATTTATTCACCATTGTTGGTCTGGTTCACTTGTATATATTTTATATACAGGAGGCACTTAGCCCCCCCTGTTCACTTTGTTTTGGCGGTTTTCCTACCACATTTATTTACTTGGTTTTATCTATGATTATAAATGTAATAAGTGATTACAACCTTTTGCCCACATCAAAATCAGGCCTTGTTGTTTTTCTCTCAGTTATAGATTATTAATAACGAATATATACTGTGCTGAATAATAAGAGTAAATGAATAAAAAGGAAATAGAAATCTAATTTATTTACACAGCAAAGAAGCTGACTACTAATCAATTATGACAAAATAAATAGTAGCCGGTATAACTTTAAATGTATTAATATTACAATGCAAATAAATAATGTTACCACTACAAAGAGACTACAAGAAAGAAATAGTTACAGGAAAAAAAAAAAGAAAAGAGACAGAGCAATGGTGATATATTACACACAGACACCCTGATGTTCTGCGGTCTGGCTTCGGAAGGCACGCAAGGACATAGAGGACGTGTCTCTCTTGTTTTATACACTTTCCAAAAGACCATCCCTAGACCCACCCACCCAAGTAAATTCACACCTTTATCTTAACCTCCAAGGAGTGGGCAATGGTCAGTTTAATTAAACGAAAGAACAGGAAATTCCAGTTGCCTTCCATCCCCCTCACCTCAATTGAGTCTTTTGAAGTGTAATCCGCCACAGTCACAATAACCTTCATGAAGGTGAAAATTACCATAGGCCCAAAATTGCCATTGCAACTTCAATATTGATTTTTTCCCCCTGAGTGTTTCACGCTACAAAACGCTCAGGTGTGAATGCAGCCTGCACAGCTGCACCAGATTCTGAGTGTTCCAGTTTTAGTAAAAACTACCCCAATATATTATAGAGTTTTTAGTAAAAATATTAAAATATGAAGTCACATTGAGTAAATACTGTAGATACTAAACATGCCAAGCCCTAATATTATGTGTGCCTTTGAAACTATGGTACCAAAAACTGTCTATAGGTGATGCTTTAAAAGCCTATGCAGGTCATTAACCTAGAGTTAGCATTCAATGATGGCCCCAGAAATATTGTTTTCACTCGGAAATTTGCAACCATACATAGGTGCAGTGCAATCATCATATTCGTATGTAGACATGATAAATTCATATGTGTATGTAAATTCATATGTGTATGTTTATAGGGGCAAAGGGCGTATTTTATATTTTACTAAGTTTAATTTCTTCAAACATTTTTCAATTTATTGCTATAACATGTGAGCTGGTAAAGTTACAGGTTCTCTTTAGGGTTAAATTAGGGGTATTGGTAGTACCCTGGGCCAATTGGAATTTCTGAGCATTCCAGTTTAATTTGCTTCACCAATGGAATCAGTTCCTGCCAAAGATGGTGATGAAATCACAAACTTGGTAGATGGGGTACCAAAATTTGTTGTTGGGCAGGCCCTTGAATCCTAACAAAGATACCATACTTACCATCAATGCCAGTCTCAAGGCCTGAGGGCTCATCTCCAGGAACTCTATTCCCAGCAGTGATAGCCACAATACACAAAAGCTAGCTCCAATCAGTTAGAGATGAAGGCACTGTTTAATTCTCAAGACATTCAAGAAAGCACTGCATGACCAGAATGTAAGAGTCCTATCAGACAATAAAACATCTGTAGCCTCTTTAACCAAGCCGGGTGGAATGAGAAGTCTTCCTCCCCTGAACATATACTCACAGATTTTTTTTTTCTTGGGGGGGGGGGGGGGGGGCAGAAAAGCATGTAGAACATTTGTTAGTTTGTTATCTGCCAGGGAGAGCAGGGGAGTAGAATGTCTTGGCAGACAGCTTGGTTACAAGTTCAGTTACTGAAACAAGTGCAATCTGAATCACATACTGTATATCTTAAAAAAAGATCTTAAGGGGAATTCTGGAAGTAGATGTAAAAGAGACTGTCAAAAAGTCTGTCACTGTTTTTCTTTAGCTTCCAAGATGCTTGGATTCTCAGTCAGGATGCTGTGCAGAATTCCTGGAGATTTAGTAGGGTATATATTTTTCCACTAAAAGCCTTTACTCTGTTTGTACTGTTTAAGATCCATCAAGAAGGATTCATGTCAATATCATCAACCATGTTGGCCCAAGAGATCATGCATTCCTCTGTTAGGCAGTATAAAAATTGTAGCCTGTAATTAATACCTTATTGAAAGCAAGAAAACCATCAACAAACTTTTCTTATATTCAAGTGTGGAAATATTTGAAGATATGGCAAAACCTGGAGGGGTATGTCTGTTCCACACACATTGGGGTTGATTTACTAAAACTGGGAGAGTGCAAAATTTGGTGCAGCTCTACATTGAAACCAATCAGCTTTTAATTTCAGCTTGTTCAATTAAGTTTTGGCAATAAAACCTGAGAGCTGATTGGTTTCTTTGCACAGCTGAACCAAATTTTGCACTCTCCAGTTTTAGTAAATCAACCCCATTGCATGTTCATGTTCAGCTCTATCTGTTGGATTACCAATTAGTGTGCCAATTTCTCAAGACAATGTTGAAGTTTAGACTTCCGTTATTTTTTTTTATAAAAACGGCACTTACCTCTCGTCTTGGAAGCATTTATTATCACTACATTTTTCTCTGATAGAATCTTGCTCACTATGGTGCCTGATTTTAATAATAGTTTTTCTAATGGCAATAGCAACTGCCAAATAAGTTTCATAACTGCATGCATTTCCTGCAGCGTGACTTTCTATTTAGTACATTCTGGGGCTGAGCCAACTGTTTAGTATAAACTAGGTTTGGACTGAACTTTTATCAATCCTGGCTCCCTGTTCAGCAGGAGCTGAATATTACATATAGAAGTGGCATTTATACTGCTTCTACATATGACGGCTTCCAGCTGTCAATGATTACTAAGGAAGGGAAACCGCTGGAACCTGCCTCTTCCCTAACTATCACTGACTTCAACATCCCTATTGACTTACACAGTCAGGAATCCCAGCCCCATAAGGAAAGGTAAGAGATAGTGGTGAAATCACAGTTCAAATATGGCTCTTGGCCATATATGGTCAATGATGTCACCACTATCCCCACCCCTTCCTTTACATAGGCAATGAAGGTTTGATGAACTGTAATTCATTGGAGTAGATATAAAGATATCAAAACTCATCGGAGTAGAATTGGAATTGGCTGTGTGCACCAGGTCCATCTGTTTTTTTCTCTCGATGAGTCAATGGGCAGCAGGCATCATGATTGACTATGACTATACAATGAGGGGCTTTTTGGTATTCTTATTTTTTTAATATAGGGCTTGTAAAAAGTTTGGTTGACTTTATTTATAGGTAACATTTTTAGTGAATGAGTAGTGGCACTACGTACCTCTTACTCATTCACATAGGGGTGGTGAAATCTAGGGGTCCTCTTATTTTTAAAGGGAGTTTCCATATTCTTACAGTACAAGCCCGCAGACCCCACAACCACCAGGCCTGGGCTGTGGGGAAGAGGACCTTGTCTGTATCAACATGGGGACAAGATGCTTTATCATGGGGCTGTCAGGAATGGACTTTCCAGTAATGGTGGGACCCACCTGCCTTGTGGGCTGCAGTACCAAGGCTGGCCAGCGGGTGCTCCCGGCAATCAGAGACTCAACCCTGCAGCCAGCCTAACACCTGAAACTGATTATGCAGGTGTATTTAAGTAATGGCCAGACCTGCAGTCTTTGCCTTGGTGTGTGTGTTTTTCCTGGGCCCTGTATCTTGTTCCTGCATTCCTGTTCCTGTCTCTGTCTGACTCGGTGCCCACTGCCTTGCCAGATGACGCGGTGCCCGCTGTCGAGCCAAATGACCTGATGCCTGGTGACCCGATGTCCGCTGTCAGGCCAGATGATCCAATGTCTGACCCAGTGCCCGCGGTCATGCCAGTTGACTCGGAGCCCACTGTCGTGCCTGGTGACTCGGTGCCCACTGCCTTGCCAGATGACGCAATGCCCGCTGGCGAGCCGAATGACCTGATGCCTGGTGACCCAGTGCCCGCTGTCATACCTGGTGAACCGATGCCCGCCGTCGAGCCAGACCATCCCATGCCTGATGACCCAGTGCCCGCTGTCATGCCTAGTGACCTGATGCCCGCTGTCGGGCCAGACGATCTAATGTCTGACCCAGTGCTCACAGTCATGCCAGTTGACTCGAAGCCTACTGTCGTGCCTGGTGACTCGGTGCCCACTGCCTTGCCAGATGACGCGGTGCCCACTGGCGAGCCAAATGACCTGATGCCTGGTGACTCGGTGCCCACTGCCTTGCCAGATGACGCGGTGCCCGCTGGCGAGCCAAATGACCTGATGCCTGGTGACCCAGTGCCCGCTGTCATACCTGGGGGGCCCGATGCCTGTCGCCCCGCCTAGGGGCCCGATGCCTGTTGCCCTGCCTGGGGGTTCGGCGCCCGCCGCTCCGCCTGGGGGCCCGGCGCCCACCGCTCCGCCTAAGGGCCCGGCGCCCGCCGCTCCGCCTGGGGGCCCGATGCCCCGCCGCTCCGCCTGGGGGCCCGATGCCTGTCTGCCTGGGGGCCCGGTGCCCCGCCTGGGGGCCCAATGCCTGTCGCCCCGCCTGGGGGCCCGATGCCTGCTGCTCTGCCTGGGGGCCCGGTGCCCGCAGCTCCACCTGGGGGGCCCGTCGCCCCGCCTGGGGGCCCGGCGCCCGCTGCTCCACCTGGGGGCCCGGCGCCCGATATGTCGCCCCGCCTGGGGGCCCGATGCCCGTGCCGCTGCCCACCTGCCCGCCTGGGGGCCCGATGCCCATCATGCCCCCCGCCTGATGTGCCTCTGCCCGGAGTCCAGCTCGATGTGCCGCTGCCCGGAGTGTGCCGCTGCCCCGAGTCCTGCCCGTGTGCCGCTGCCCCGAGTCCTGCCCGATGTGCCAGTCTTTGATATCCCGCCAGTTACCAGACCCGGGCGGTGGAACATTTTGCCCAGCTAGGACTGTTTGGAGCATCCTGAGGCCGCTCCTTGAGGGGGGGGGTACTGTCAGGAATGGACTTTCCAGTAATGGTGGGACCCACCTGCCTTGTGGGCTGCAGTACCAAGGCTGGCCAGCGGGTGATCCCGGCAATCAGAGACTCAACCCTGCAGCCAGCCTAACACCTGAAACTAATTATGCAGGTGTATTTAAGTAATGGCCAGACCTGCAGTCTTTGCCTTGGTGTGTGTGTTTTTCCTGGGCCCTGTATCTTGTTCCTGCATTCCTGTTCCTGTCTCTGTCTGATTCGTTGCTGACCCTGCCTGATTCCGGACCTCTGCTGACTTCTCCTGTTTCATCCCTGGCTTGTGACCCCGACCATTCTCTGCCTGACCCCCTGTACCTACCTGCCCGATTGTTATTGACCCGGCCTGCCTGACGACGCTTGCATTGTATGTATTATCTGTGGGTGGTTTGGTTCGTTTGCACTGTGTTATGTTTTAGTATTGCACTGCATTTATGTTTGTATTGTTAGTGTTAATAAATTATATTGCTTATAACTTATCTGAAGCCTGCGTTTCCCTTCGTCAGTCACATACCTCTGGTCACACCCTGGAGCCCTGACAGGGGCCCTGACAATACCCACCACCATGTTGAGGGTATGTGGTCTGTTATGGTTGGGGAGGCTCATGCTTGTCCCCCTTTTTTGGCCAGGCAGGCTGCATGCTCATATTAAGGGTCTGGTATGGATTTTCAAGGGCAATCTCATTCCTTTATTTTGTTTTTTTACTCAAAGGTTCTAGTATATATTTTTGGTGGAAAATTGCACAGTTTTTTGTGATTCTTGTTATAGGATGTGACAAAGACAAAGAAAAAAGATATAGTCTAAAAAAAAAAACCACACACAGACCCCTGCAATGGTCCCCAAAATACATTGCAGACCCTTTCTCTGCTCTTTACTTTGGGGGACTTTTGGAGAGGGTCTATTTTACAATTTGTTTAAAACCAACATGGAAAAATAATTTCCAAGCAATTTAAAACCCTTTTTTTCCTTTGTAAATGTCCTTTTGTACATATGCCCCATTTACAGGAAGGATTAGAAAACTCCAAGGTAAGTTATTTAAAGGGATTAGGAATTTTAATGTTTTACTTTAATGATAAAAAAAAAAAAATCACAGCTTCTAGCAGATTGGAATAAAAAAAATGTTTTGCATCAGTAGAAGTTCCCAAGGGCAGTGCCCACCATCACCCCCCATGCTATTATTTTGACAATTAACCCAGAAAATTCAATTTTTTTATTTACAGATTTGGTTTCTGTTAAATTTAGCGATGTTTGGGTTCAGCTTCCAAACTTGTCTGAAGTTTTCCAAACTCAAGGCAGTTTGACTTATGCCTAGTCTATTTTGATTTAATCAAATGGCCAGTTCCTTATTTTTTATCTACAATATGTACAATATTTTATTTCAACTGGGAAACACAATTAACCTTTTAGCTCTCCAAAAACAGGACTAAATAATAATACAGTAATACAATCCATGTATGGGATAGTTAGTTATCTTGTGAGGGTTAGTGGGAAAAGTTGGCACCATAGAAGGCTGATATAAGGTGATGCCAGGAAAAAATGTATCAAATTATTTATAAATGATTTAAAATTCAAGAAATCCACACTTGCTCACCCTTGGAAAAATTAATCTAAAGTTGTCAGCACTTTCATTTATAAAACCAACAGTAATTTATTTTTAAATCTGTACAGTGAAGAACTTACCCTCTACTATCATCCATATACAAAAATAATAAGGGACATAGAAATCTTTTTTCATCTTCAAAAATGTTTTGTTTTTTATAATGCATGTGACACAGCATATACTGAAGTTACTTTGTTGAAAGAAATCACATTTCAGAAAAGACTATAGTTTTTAGTCATATGTTGAAACGGTACACAAAGTGTGTTTAAGTATTTAAGTAGACAGCAACTGATACAATGGTGATAAGGCAAGGAGGATGGCAGGGATGAGAGTAGGGAGGGGGGATACCTGGGGTGCTCTAGTATGTCCAAAGTAAAAATGAAGGGGTAGGAGGAAAAATGGTTCCAGAGGGACAAGTCAAAACCTAGCAGAAAACACAAAGTTGCCATAATTTAGTGTACGCATAAATCTTATCATGCAGGGTGGCCTTTATTTTACAGTGGATCATGGCCTGAATGACCCTATTTTGGTCTCCGAAACACAGTTTAGAAGTTTCCTAGGCCTTTGCCAGATTGTTTAGCTGCCATGGTGACTTGCAGGAGATGTGTAAATTGCAACTTGATGAGCTTAATGGAAAAAGAGTAGAGAGTATCTCAAACACTTCAGTACAGAATGTATGGACTAAGCGACATGTGAGTTCCCCCTTCCCTCATCCCCCTAAAACAGGTTTATGGATAGTTAGGGGTGAACCTGCTTACCTGGGTGGGGACCAAATGCATTTATGAAAGTACCTTAAAGCAGTCATATTCTGTGAATATCACTTAGTTGCCATCCAGATATTAACCAACTCCTCTGGTTCTATAGTAACACTGAGGTCAGCTGATCACTTGTGTACATATGTTGGGAGGTGGTTGCACAGTTTGATGTTATTATAATCTCCAGTACTTTATTATCCAAATGCAAGTGGATCATATGAACTTGAGGTTCAATGGCTAGGGCAAAAATTAGGGCTAAGATAGGGCACCCTTGCACCCCTGCTTTATGCCTCTGGTTAAAGGAATTTACTTGGCTCTAAACCCAGAGAATATAAATATGCCTGCAGACAAGAGTACAAAGATGTGATCCATTGCAGGAAGTGTTGGACACAGTCCAAATGCTTTCCTGATGTTTAACGACAACAGTCAGGTGAGGATATGTTGTATGTGAATAATATGTAAAAGTATAGAATCTCTATGAATGCTGTCATTAGCCTGGTGATACTGAAAAAAAACCCAACTTGGTCGTTATGTATTAAAGATCCAATTATGGGAGTCATAATGTAAGGACTTTAGGTAACAGTTTGATATTAAAGCTGAGCAGTGTTAACGGTCTGTAATTCAACCAATTCATTTTGTCTGTATTGGGTTTTGGTATAATTTTTTTTATAGCTGTTAGTTGTACGATTCCTTCCTGAGTAGCAAGAGGGGGAGCTAATGTATCAGCAAACTCTTTATAGTAGGTGGAATGGAGTCCATCAGGGCCTGGGCATTGAGTTTCAAAGTTTTAATTGCTTTCTCTGTTAAAATGAATGAGTGAATGAATAAGAGTCAGCAAGGTTATTTCCCTCAATTAATTTTCCAATTGCACATTTGAGAAGTTACAGTGACTCAAACTAAATTGACAGGTGCCACTCAAGGCTCCGCTGGGTCCCCTTAAGTAGCAACCACTTGGAGTGCAGACAAGGACAGAGCTTGCCCCTGCTCTAGACATCTAATGAAAAAGGGAGAAGTCTTGGAAGTTGCATATCTCTGCAAAAACCCCATAAGAAGTTGTATGACAACCTAAGCCTGGGCTCCAACCAGGCCATGCCCCCAATGCATTTAACTCTGCCCACAGAGCTTAATCATTCGAGCTAAGAGTAAAATGCATTGGGGTATGGACTGGTTGGAGCCCGGGCTAAGGTTGCCATGCATCTTCTCATGGAGTTGTGCAGAGATGTGCAACTTCCAGGACTTCTCCCTTTTCCATTTGACAAGCTTTGGTCAGTAAAAAATATCATTTGGAGAGCTGTTTCCTGAACTTTTAAAATATTTTGTACCAGGTTACTCGTTTTAGTATCTTTAGAAAGTTTCAGGTGTATAGATTTATGGACTTTATTTAGATTACTGAGCTAGAAGGCTAAGAGGGAGTCTGCTTATTAGCTTTAATAATGATGTTATGTTGTGATCTAAGCATGGCCATTGCTGCAGACTCATCAAGCAATAAATTAAGTTCTGTGTGGGTTTTATCTAGAAGTTAGTTGGGGTGGGGTTAATCTGAAAGTTTACATGGAGGGATTGGTATTTCTGTTCTAGCCCCTTTAACAAATGGCATTTCCTTCTTTTAAATTCAGAAGGCTCTTTATACACAGGTGCCCCTGGCGACAGGTGTATGGGCCATAAAGCTGCTGGAAATATCTCTGGGATGGAATTGAATGTGAGGTATTTGCCTAGTGTGATCTGGATATCTAAGCAATAGGACAAGTTGGCCAGGAGTGCCTCATTCATGGCCCAAGTTCTATCCAAATTCCTGGGGATTAAAAAAGGGATTGTGATCAGTACAGCACTATGGTTTGTCCATGGGAGTGCAATAGGAGATAAAAGTGAGCTGAGGTGAAGAAGATGTG